TACTGAAGGTTAATTATTAATATGCCAGGCTCCTTGGTTACTCCATTTAGGATAGCTGGCGGTCTCTTCCTATTGCTTAATCCCATTCTCCATTGGAAAGGACAAGTGGGAAGGCCTGGTTTAGTTGAGGTTGCTGGGGACCAATTCCCAGGAGCTGCAGAAGCAGACCAGTGTCAGCCTTCTAAAATCCAATGGTCCTGCGCAGGTTCTCATCCTTCAGGACTAGCATTTTCCGCTCTGTTCACTGTACACTGACATACTTTCTTGAGTGGAATTTAAAAGGAAAGAGTTATAGAAAGCTGTGGAAAGTGCACAAAACAAAGAATATGTCCACAGAAGAATGTTGCCAATTGGATCAACCGCCTTTACATATGTCACTCCAGGAAAACTGCCAAGAACTGCTCACTCCTTTAGACAGATTTCCTGCACACTCCAGACTCTGTCTTAAGCACATGCCTGTAGTACCCTCCCTCATTCTTCCTTATTTCAATCTTTCTTTTGCCCTAAGATTTTGAAGTGTGTATTTTATATTTTGTAAAATATATGTGGCAATATTGTACCTAGTATTTAATGGCACCCTATTCATTAGTCTATGTCTCCCATCTGAACAAATATCCTAAAGCCTAACACAGTATGTCTACCTCTGATAATAAAATTTCCAATATGCTAATTGCTAAAACCCATTTTGTTTGCAATTTATCATATAATAAAAAAAATTTAAGATTACACAAAATGTGTGCAGTAGGAGCACACTGTTTCTTTTCCCCCTTGATAAATTCATACATCAGAGTTCTAAAATCTGAATCCAAAATCTATTAAACATGTAACTTGGCAAATCCTAACTGAAATGTTGCTTTTCATTACTAGTCTGTTAAAGCATTTTTTAAAGGTGATAAATGTATCAAAGAATCTTTTCTGGTAAAGGGATTCTTATGGTAAATTAAAAATCAGACATAGGGATTCTATACTTTTCCAGAATTAGATTTTCTGGCACCCAAGTTCCTATTAGGATTTGGTGGATGGGACCAACCTGTGAGATCATGAAGTGTCATCGGGACCCGGTAACAGGCATCAGAAGGCCCTTAACAATCAAACTAAAACCTACTGTTGAGGAGGGTCAGAGCAGAGATCTAAAGCCCATCTGCAGACAATGAAACATCCCCCCACAGAGGGGTCACAGGGAAGGGATGAGTCAACCAGGGCGTAGTAAAGCACCAATGAAACACACACTATTCCTCTGGTTCTTTGAGGCTTCCTCACCTCCCACTATCATGACCCCAGTGCTGCTTCTCACTTTGGACTAGACCAGAGCATGTACACTGGTATAGATAAGAGATATGAGCTCACGACACACAGAATCCAGGAGCAGGAATGGGAGTAGTGATCCCAGAAGGGTAGGGAGAAAAGGATGGAGAGAGGAAGGGGGAAATGATCCTAATGATCAACACATAACCACACACACCCCTCCAAGGGGAAGAACAACAGAAACCATGGGGGAAGAGAGACAGTGGTTGGTGTGAGATATGAAAATAATAATTTATAATCTATTAACGGGTCATTAGGAGGAGAGCTGATACCAAGGCTCAATAGAAAGTAACTGTCTAGAAAAGAATGATGGCAACATATGTACAAATATGCCTGATACAATTGGTGTATGGATTATAATAAGAGTTGTAAGAACCCCCCAGTAAAATGATCTTTTAATTTTAAAAAAAAGGTAGATGGGAGCTGGAAAGCAGGAAGCAGAGAAAACAGATCAGTAGCTATTTAAAAAGACAAGTCTTCCCTGAAATAGAAAATAAACTTAATTAACTAGTGTTAATTGAACTTCCACTCTTTAAAATAATTTACTTCTTCACATTTGATATGTGAAATTGAGTCTCACTAAATTATATAGTAAAGAGCACAAGGTTTCTTTGGGATTTAAAAGCCACCATTTATTCAATTACAGATTAACAAATCTTACTGTAAAATGAGTTGGGCAATCAAAGCTATTCATAGATAAGTATGATTAAATTATGGATGATTAATAAGTCAACCGAATAAAGTCCATTTATTAAAAGCAAGTAATCATGTTGCTCAATGTTCACAATGAAGGAACTTTTTTTAATCTTCCCTATACTGAATTATGATTTAATATTACTGTCAATTGGTATAGAATTGAATGACCCATACACAAATGTGCCCACCAACTGTACACTGACATAAGAACAATAAATAATTCCAGTGGTAAGGATGCTCGATTTAAGTCATGCAAGGGATTCAAAAACTTTAATCTTTAAAAACTTTAACCATAAAAAAAAAAAAAAAAAACTTTAACCATACACACACCCAAATTAGCAAATTTGTTTTGTGAAAAGAATGATTCTAATTTTGAACTAAAATGTGCAATGATTATATATTTTCAGTCTTTCAGACAAAAATAAAAATTCTTAAGAAACATAAAAATTTGAACTAAAACTAAAAATGATCATTGGAGGAAAAAATAATCCAAAAATTTCACAATAAAGCCAGCCTAATAGCTTCTTCACAATTTTATAAAACATTAATTAAAGGGTTGCATAAATCCCTCAGATTAAAGATTTTAAAGAGAGCTGCAGGAATTTTTCCATTTTCAATATTGCTATCTGTTCTTCTAGCCACAAATATAAACCATTTAGCCTTCAGAAGAAAAGTCAAACCAAGAGCAATACAGTTAAGCTATATTATTCTTAACATAGTTTAAAGTATTGTTTACATATAGGCCCCTCACACAAGCTAAATGTCCAACATATACTACATCCAGTTCATTCTCAAGGGAAAAAACCATCCAAACAAAAGCTCCTATTTAATAAACCGTTTATTTGTCATAAAGCCTCGACTACCCCAGGTGCATTTTGCTATCAAGTGTTATTACAACTTCTTCTCTTCACAAAAACCTAAAAATCTAAAACACATAAGTAAAATTTTTGGTTTCCCCTTAAAATGTCTATTATCTGTTCTGTCTAAGTATAAGACCAAGAAAACGTTTTAAATACTTTTACTCTCTAAAAAGGAAATACTTCTGCTTTTGTCTTTTAAAAATTGTTTTAATTGGCTTCTGCCTATTTTCTATGCATAAAATGTTCTCAAATTAGTTCATTTCAGCGTTAGATGTTTACTGTAAATATGTCACTGTAGACAGGCTTTTTGCAGACAAAGCTTTATAGGACAGGGGTAAAAGAGAAAGGGTGAACAAGCGGGCACATGAAACAAAAACGCACTATATCTGAGAAACCCCATTCAATTTCTCTGCTTCAAAGTCCTTTAAGTCCTCCTGCCAAAGTTTCTCAGTATTCAAAAGTTCCAGAGTCAGGGAGGCACAACAGTGTTAAGATAAACCATATGCACACACTCGGAACCTGAAAAAATTTAACGAAATGTATTGACATCTAAGAAAGAATTATCACAAAATTGAGAAAAACAGACAATAATAAATCCAGTTCCTAGATAACCCTCCTGGAAAGTTGCTTTTGCAGCCACTACCTGGCTCACACCAGTTTAGAAACAATTTTGACGGCAGTAAATACATTTCACTTGCAACCCAGTATACACAGGTGTAAGACGTTCCACAAAGCAATATTTTCCTTAGGGCATGCAATACACTTCTTACCACATGTAATACACTATTCTGTTCTATTTCACTTTACTTTTGGTGCTGGTTGGAACTCATTAAATTCATCTGTAACATCAATACATCATGAAGAACACATCTTTTTGGCAATCTGTCTCCACCTGTCTCTTTAGCAGAGTGGGCTGGGGCTGTGTGATTCCTCTTTTCATGAAAGCAGAGCATCACCTGAGACAAATACAAACTCTCAGGCCTCGTGCTAGACCTACCGAATCAGAAGCAATGTTTTTAGAATCCAGGTAAAATTTGAGAACCACCACATTAAAGTGTGACTTCGGGAAGTTAAAGTTTCATCTATTTCCCAAAACCTCAGCGCCTGCTCACGGCCCCCGGCTCATCCTTCGCTGCGGCCGTTCTGCCAGTGACCACGGAAGGACTTGGGCGATCCCGCGTTTCATCTACGACTCTCTTCCTTCAAGGAAATTACTCGCCCCCCCC